CCATTTACAAAGAACAACAGAGCTGAAATGTCAGCACAACTAAACAGAAGACTAGACAACGCAGACAAAAACTTACGCAAAGCACAAGCACGTGAGAAGTACTATGACAGGCGGTCCAGTTCGATGGTTTATACAAAAGGCGATTGGGTATACCTTAAGAGCGTTCCAAAGTCTTGTTCAAAGAAAGGAATCACAAAGAARCTTAGTGTCAAGTGGACAGGACCATTTGAGGTCACAGATGTMCGTGGAGTCGACCTTGCCATAAAACAGCCGTCAGGAAACACCTGGGTACATAGTAACAGGGTCAAGCTTGCCTTCACCGAGGACCCCGGAATCCAGAACAGAGCTCATCCCTTGGCAACTGATGAAACTGATAACAACCAAGAGGAGCCGAAAGATAGAGGAGGTGGGAATATCAAGGAGGAGCCAGATGATACTGAGTATGAGGACATACAGGAGGAGATGGAAGACAGTGAGGAGGAGGACACTCCCGACGACGAAGAAGAAGACTTATCACAACAAGACCCAACTGTTACCAGATCAGKTCGAATTGTAAGACCTCCACAGTACCTAAAGGACTATGTTACAGACATTAAATAAGACTTATAGAATCGGAACTTTGAACTTTGCTTACGTACAGTGACTTTCAGTTGTTAATTATGTTTATAAGTTTATATTTACATACCTATGTAAACAATTGAGCGAGGGGAGATGTAGCATAAATTATGTAAATTATGCAAGTGTTTACCGCAAAGGACTATGGACTCGAGCATGCGGCGTGTGATTTTTGTAGTTCAGTAAACGAGTACAAGAACCCCAATTTAGAGTCGCATTTAATACCACAGATGGAAGAGTTTTCTAAGGCAAATAATGTTGTAAAAGAAATGATGATGATGGCCATTCTACCAAGCGTAGCATCTTTGATGGGTGCTCGCTTGTCAATCAAGCCATCTGCAAAAGAGCAATACCAAGAAAACTTCAGTTTCTTCAGTCTCTGTGTTTCCCCGCCTTCTTCAAGCAAGAGCCAAGCCTTTAGACATGGCATCAAAATCCCACTTACGTACGTGGAAAAAGAGTCCAAGGCATGTATCTTGCTCGATAAATTCACCGATGCCGGGCTAAGGCAGCATCTCGTACAGTACAAGGGATTGGCCGCAATCTTAAAGGATGAAATGTACGACACTCTACGAGGCGTAATGTCAGATAAAGAGGTGGGCACTTTGTGTCGGCTTTACGATGGCGACTCATTAACTACCAACATGGGAAACAACGCTTCACGCGTGAGCACGGAGGAAACCTGTGTTTCTYTTGGGGGTTTCATACAGGTTAAAAACTTCCTATCCGAGATCTATCCTGCTATGSCATSATCGCAAAATGGATTCGAGCAAAGATTTGTATACTCAGTCGTTCGACCAAAGGCAATGACGAGGAAGGAATCGGAAGCGCATTTTCGCAATCTGCAAGAGTATAATCTACAAGATCTTACTGAGATATACGACGCGGTGTACCGAGACCATAAGGATGGAATCGTGTATAGCTTCTCGGATGAAGCGCTTGCACTTTACGATGAGTTCCACACTGAGATATGCAATAGTTTAAACAACAAATGGCAATTGGGTGTTCTACTGCACGATGAGTCGGAGATCGGTAAAGATCGGCGCCAAGTCATTCGTCTGGCTGGAATTTTATATGTCCTCTACACGTACTTACGAAGAGCMCTGTTCCAAAGTTATGGAAACGTACGTATCCAGAGTTATTGGCAAGCAATACATGGCCTATGCAAAGGACCTGATGAAATACTTTCGTCAACAAAAGACCATACTTGGTAAGGTATAGTGTAAAACTTGCTCTTTATGTACTATTTCTACTGAAAACTCTTCAATTATTCATTAGAGATTTTTCCAATGAGCATTCAACTATGGGTCACATGACAGAACCTATAACTCAAGTTACAAACACTGATTAATTAAACATGAGTTTTATAACTAACCGATTCAGTTAGTTATAACACTCATGCATAAAACATCAGTGTTGTAACTGATTTACAGACACTCTATTACATACAATATGAGCGGGTGATCTGTATGATCACATGCAAATATTGTACATGTATATTACTTATTAAACGATGAGGTATGAACTACCTCAGGTAGTTTAACTTTATGCAAATGATCAAGAATCTGTATGTAATATACAACTCTCTTCATGGGCTATGATTTCTATTGTGTTTTGCCTTATGAATATTAATGAGTTTTATAACATTATTTAAGCAGCTACAGTCAATTTATTTTGAGTGTGAATACTACTAAACAATAGAAAACACAGGACTTTTGACTAATTTTCAAAATTTTGTTAGCAATTAAAGTATTAATATGCAGTCTCTTTTAAGCAGTTCTGTCCATCATATACAGTCAAGTCTCATTCAGCCATGCCCTTTTTTTCAAGACTGCCAGGAACTGTTAGGTGTCTTTTTCAAAATTTCTGACAAGCATCACTGGCACCTTTATGCACTGAGGCAGCCCAATCCGATAAATAATTGCTTGTTTTTAAAAGTCACTTTTTATATCACAATACAACCTCTCTACTACTAGGTCCTCGATCCTACAGCTGAGTGCGTTGCTGAGCCACTGCTACAAATCAAAGTTTTGGAGCATCCTGGTCCTGTTGTCAATGCCTGGACGATGCGAAATAAATACAATTCAAGTTCAAGACCATCTAAAGATGACTTGGCTGATGCCTTGGCTGTCTCAACTTGAAGAAAGGGTAAGGAACATTCCAAAAACGTATATTTTAGTAAGTATCTTTCGGGATATGCATGCGTTTGGCTATTTTCAAAATTGGTGCACCATTGATCCTTAACATCAACAACAAGGCTTTATTTGTACTTTTGGAATTAAGTTTAACTTTATCAGAATTGGAACTGACATTTTGAAATTGGACACAAGATGCTATTATCATCAATTTCAAGATTGTTACACACTTGCATTATTGACAATGTTACTAAAAAACTATAGAACTATTTACAAAATATAGAAATATTTGAAGTTCAAATATTGAAGTATATAGCAGTATTTGTCTCTAACATGCGCCTTTGAATCAAAAACATTGTTTCATGTTAAAAATAAATATTGGAAAAAATGTGCCTTTGAATGCTTTATGTACCTGCAGTAATGTGGAGTTTTCAAAGGTACCTTTTCAACACTCACGCATCAAAAAAGGAATAAATATCAATCTTTTTCATTTATTTATTTGCCATCAATATATTAATATTCTTACGGATATGGATAATGTATTCATTTATCCCAACTGCTGATGTGTGACAAAATTAGAATTGTCAAGCGCTTTTGATACTTATTTTACTTGTTTGTATTGAAGGGAATGGGAGTTTCAATACAGCACAAAGGTGGGATAGCATTTCTCAAGCAAGTACCAAACAAAGTTACTGCCAAACAGTTGGAACAGTACAAGATGTCACCAGAAATGTACACAGCTATCTTTTGTAAGAAAAATTTTGACTTACAGAACCAGCTGAAAGAAACCATTCTGTGTAAAGATGCTCTAGGAGAAAACAATTAAGCAATATCTTGAAGCAGGTAGAGAAAATGAGGATCCCAATGTGGGCTTGTAAGCATAGGTCAAGCAATGAACGTTAATGTTTGCACTTATACTGTCTTAGGTTGAATTATTAGTTTCTTAACAAATGTTAATCAAGAGTACTCCTGTACTTTAAATTTTGTTTTGAATATAGGCTTCTTAAAACCTGTGAATTTTTGTTGGTATTTAGGTTTCCAATCTGACATAGTCTAGTCTGTTTCGTTTTCAAAACTAGACTTGCTTTGCAGAAACAGAATGTAATATACATGTTCAGGTTTGAAATGTGCATTTTTGAATTTTTTTAAACTGATTAGTTTTTGAAAACTGGATTGAAAATATGACGAGCATTCAATAGACATTTTTGTTTTCAATACATAATAATATGTTAAGATTGGATTACAAGTTTCTTAGCAAAAGTTAACAGTACTCAGTCTGTACTTAAAATTCTGTTTTGAATATGTATGATTTATTCTTTATTACATTTTGAGATATTCATGAATAAAGAACATACTGATCATGTTTAATGAAATGTGGTACCATATTCTAATGCTGACATACTTTCCCATACTTTTCCTTCTAATCTTCCAAAATTGCATTTTGAACATGATTACAATTAGAAAAGGTGAGCTAACAATTTTATAGTGGTTCTTAGGCCCAACACATTTTAAAAGGATTATGCATTATATCTGATGAAAAAAAGATTTGCAAGAAATTCAAGATTTTCCAGAATTTTAGAGTTTACTCCTAGTATTTTCAAGAGCTTTTCCTGTGCACCTTAAAAACATAACTTCAATCCCAGGGCTTTTCAAGGCATGAACCCTGAGTATACAATGTATTTGGTATTGGAGTTCCTTGAAACAAAAAATAGTAAAAAAAACCGCTAACTTTTCTTATTTCCTTGTTTTTTATTTCCTCATCAACACTGGTACTACTGTATTTAGCAGAAACAGTACTAATATTTGTTTCATGATTTAAGTTCATTATGTCTATAGATATAGCCATTTTCAGATTGGTTGTCATTAGCCAGCCCTGAATCACACCACTAGTTTGAATTTACAGTACTATACAAGCACTGAAAAATGGACTATAACTTTCCGAATTATCTAACGGAATTTCAAACGAGCATTTGAGGGTTGTTTGAAAGGTTGGATGGATCATGCAGCCAATCGAAGCTATACCCGCTGTGACTACTGCACTTACCACTCATTTTATATAGCTTTTTCCTCAATAATATACAAAAACAATCTTCCTTCCCTTTGAAGATTGCTCTAATAACGTTTTTCGTTGAAACACTGGTCATAATTTGACTTTGTTTATAGATACACGATCCATTCGCCATTTTGAATTATTCTGAGCCGGTTGTCAAAGTGTTCAGCTCCTTGTTTTTAACTCTATGCGCACTGGATTCAGGACAGTCGCGCACGCTTTCGAGCAGTGTGGACTATGTGGACTGTGGACTCCGTGGACTTGTGTGGGAAGTGTGGACTGTGTGCAGTGTGGACTTGTGTGGGCAGTGTGGACCAGTGTGGACTGTGGACAGTGTGGGCCAGTGAGGAATGTGGACAGTGTGACAGTGTGGGCCAGTGAGGAATGTGGACAGTGTGGACTGTGGACAGTGTGGACTTGTGTGGTCAGTGTGGACTTGTGTGGTCAGTGTGGACTTGTGTGGGCAGTGTGGACCGTGGACAGTGTGGACCAGTGTGGAATGTGGACAGTGTGGACTGTGGGCAGCGTGGGCTTGTGAGGGCAGTGTGGACCAGTGTGGAATGTGGACAGTGTGGACTGTGGGCAGTGTGGACTTGTGTGGGCAGTGTGGACTGTGGGCAGTGTGGACCAGTGTGGAATGTGGACAGTGTGGACTGTGGACAGTGTGGAATGTGGGCAGCGTGGACCAGTGTGGAATGTGGACAGTGTGGACAGTGTGGACTAGTGTGGACTGTTGGCTCTGTGGCCTATAGTGTGGACTGTGGATACTGTGGACTAGTGTGGAATGTGGACACTGTGGACTGTGGCCAGTGTGGACTGTTGTCTCTTTGGGCTAGCGTGGGCAGTGTGGACTAGTGTGGACTAGTGTGGTCAGTGTGATGGGCTAGTGAGCACAGTGTGGACTCAGAGTGGAAAACATAGAGTGATTATGTATTTGTATATTAACGTTAGTACTAACTTTCATATTTGAATTATTGCATGAATAATAATATAGTTTCCGATGACGTATACTGTGCTCTGGTACGCACAGAACAACCAGTTGATTGCTAAGATCAAACAGACTCTCTGACGGCATCGCCGTCTAAAAGAGAAATTAACTGTACTGTACTGTAGAGTACTGCCACGAAGTACTATACACCCTATTCTGTGGCTTCAATCGTATCATTAGAGAGAAGATCCCAGACCTGAACTTGTTTCACTCATCCGATCTGAAACCGTTCCAAAAAACATTGGATGGTCGGCTAAAGGAGCTCCAGTGCAAGTAGCAACCCTTTCAGAAACAAGCAAGTGCTATATCACGAACGACGAAGAGTTCTGGAATAAAGGAGTAATGGGGACACATTCTCCAGACGCTATAATAAACGCTTTGATGTTTCTAATGGGAAAGCTCTTCGTATTGAGAGGGGGACAAGAGCAAAGATATCTTCAACATGATCAGTTTATTTTTGGAGGGCAGTCGGATGGATCGATGATCGTTGAGAAGAGAAGGTATCCAAAACAAATCAAGACGGACTAAAAAGGCGTGAAGTAGTAAGGAAGTTCGACACCTAGAGGATCCATATAACGATAGGTCCATTCACCTTCATATATAATTTCTACGTGTGCAAATGGTGAGTAACTATACATCAATCTCAGATCGAAGTACTGGTTTTTTATTAATTGGCTCTTTATTTTCACAGCCCAGAGAATATTCCAGTGCCTGCTTTTTACTTAAGACCTAAAACAAAGTGGAGCTATAGTCAGAAGTGTGGTTCGACAAAAGTCCCATGGGCCACAATACAATCAGTAAACGTTTCAAGAAGATGTGTAATGACGCAGTAGAAGGGAATTTCTCGAATCATTCTGGGCGTGCAACTGGTATTACCAGAATGTACCAAGCTGGGTTATCAGAGAAACTTATAATGCAAAGAAGTGGCCACCGTTAAATCGAAGGTGTGAGAACCTATCAAGGTCAAGATCCAACAGATATCAGCAAAGTATCTCATTCACTAACATCACCGGCAACAATGAGTACAAACGAAAGCAGCTCCTCACAGAAAATTGAGAGATCAACGAACCAAGATCCAACTGAAGATGATATGGTGCTCGTGAAAGCGTGTGAAGAAATTGAGGAGAGTGGAGCAACAGGAATCCTTTGGTGGTAATTAACATGCAAGGAGCGAACTTGACCAATGTCAATATCAACATTACCTTTAAAAAGTAAAATTTGCAAAGAAATTGTCCGAAAGTAATGACAAAGAAAACTTATAATCAGAATGATAAACGATTCAGGAATACAATAAAATTGTTTTCTGTTGATGTTGCCAATTTGCAATGCGCATGCTCAAAGATTGACATCCACTTGTTTTGAAAAATGAACTTTAAAAATAATATTAATGTAATAAGTTAAAATCTATTAGTAAGTGAGATATGAGGGACTAGCTCATGAATAACATGAGGGCAAATTAGTTTTTAAATTGCCCTCATTAATTATTGATGAGGGAAATTTAAAAACTAATTTGCCCTCATAAATATTTAATGAGGGCAATTTAGAAACTAAACTGCCCTCATGTTATTCATGAGTGAGGGATGTTAGGAYGTAAACGTCCCTCCTAAGACAATGGATACCGAGGTGATCATGGTATTATTATATTTAGATATAAATCATGTTTTGATGCTCTTTGACATCCTCAAAACAAATTCAATGATTTAAATTCAACATGTTTTTATTTAACCAAAGAATAAAACACAACAGAAGATTTTAGCAAAAATGATTGATATCACTATTAATAGTTCTCACTACATTTTCTGCTGTGGTTTGATATTTAGAAATACTAGAGTGATAACATTTTAGATTTTTTTAATCTAGGAAGGACAATCTAAAATATTTTATTTAGTGAGTTACAGTGTATAGTGAGTCTATATATTACAAAATCAAGATATTTCATATAAAACACACAACTGATAATAGAAAACAGACATGCAGATTTTTTGACAGCTAAAACTGCTAGAAATCGAACCCAAGCTAAAAAATTCCATATTGCCTTCTTAGAGATCGTCAACTTCTACCCAAAATGTAATGTGATTTCGAAATCACATGACCACACTGCATGCCCCATTGATTATAATTGAATATTTTCTGTGTTTAACACTATCCATGCCATTATAATTTTAGTGGAAACTAGCGGTAAACTAGTCTTAGATGAACTACGTAACAGAGTGGCAGAGTGTGATGCTGTGAATTGATTTGGCTTTCGTGCAAGCATGCTATTTTATGTTCCTATTTTATGAGTGTTCAATTTATATTCAAAATACAATTACATTAAAATGGTAAATAATTTCTGCTAGGCATCTGTGAAAACGAGCATGGTCCCCAAATTACAAACGAAATATCTTAATTGACAAAAAATTGGCATCATAGTAGTTTACTGGCAATATAATTATTGCAAGGAAATTTAACACTCATTGTTGCCATTGTAGTTCTTTTGTATGAATGAATGATTAAAGAGAAGTAAGTTGCCAACTGGCTAAGTTTAGATGATACTTATTCAAGTGCCTCTTGAAAGATATCTATTCCCATATATCCCTCAAAGGGTCAATTCTTTGCAAAGCAAATGATGTTAGAAAATTTTGTAACCTAGATCAATTTCATCCACAATGACATTATTATCACTCTAATTGAGTTGGTCCATCCAAATCATAACCATAGTACTCAAAATCGTTTGGATCTTCGTCAACCTCTCCACGTGAAAGGGGGTTTCCATGATGCATCATACCAATAAACCACATCTGATTAGGTGACCAATTACGGTCACTTCTTACATTGTGGTTATTATAAGCTTCTGCGAACTGACTAAGGGCTTTGTTGATTCGAGGAAGAAACACCAAGTGTAAGGTAAACATCCTGGTGTTCAGGATGCCGGACGATTCTAAACCATAAAATATATAGTAGTAAAGGTGGCAAACACAACGGAAAACATCCCTCCATAACCTAATTCGTTGATTATGCGTTGATGGACCTGCAATGAAGCTACCCCTTCCTTCCCCCCTAGCTAGTACCATTGCATCACAAACTTGAACATTTTGAACACCATGATCAACTTTTATTCTTGATGGCCAACGATCCCCATCACTTTGAACAGCATTTGTGAATAAACCAAGTACTGTTTCTGCTTTATTATTCGAACTGCACTTTAAAAACATTATTCGTCTAGAAAATCCATCGACGCACCCATTGATTACCAGTTTCCAACGGATTAAGGAGTGATGGCCATCAATGTGCCACAAGGAATTTGGCCAAGGGACCTGGTATTTTCTTCGTGACACAACAACACCCCATCTCAAGGCTGTATTCTAAGGATCTAATTTTGCTAGCCTTTCTCGTATTCTTCTACGCTGAATTCGTAATCCAAGGGACTTCAAATACCCTGCAATCAAGTTATAATAGTAGCTTTTCCATGGTTTGTAATGTATCCTTGAATAATCTCGTTAAGTTCTTCATCAGAAAAAACATTAACAGGGATCAAGAAACTTAAAAAAGGTAAAAGTCAAGTCTGTATACTTAAAGTAAGCAAATAGATAACAAAATAACCTTCAAATGTGCAGACGCCGAACCGTCGCTTGGACCAAACCTACAATGACCAGTAAAAGAGCACCTCCTAAATCTCGAGAAGTTAATTCACATAAGAAAAGAACTAAAGAAACCGTAACTAGCTGTGATACCGAAGAAGACAGAGAGGATGTTAATATTAAAACAAGGTATTAAAAGATTTGTTGTTAACTTGTACATTTCATTGCATRCATGTCTGCGACGTGTAAAGCTTGATCATCAAGCATTTTCGAAAATGAGTGGCAAACCTTGAAAAATCGATTTCGCTCATGCTTATACTATTGATAGGGTAGAGTGTCCCTATAAACGCTGTGTAGTTAGTTTGSCTGAATATCGTGTTTTGGAGGAGATATATGCAAATTAGTTGAGGGCACCGAAAATTGTAGATTTCAAGGCAAATTTTRGTCCMACTTTGTGAGCTCGCTATGTCAATTTGAGTAATGCAAGCACAAAACTAACTTTGGATCATTGTAACGCAATGTTTTCTTTACTCTGTGCTTGCTTTTCAGCCCGGTACGGCGTTTATTTCGTACCGAAATAATTTTATTTTCGAAGACGATATTTTTGTCTAGAAAAAGTATACCTTACAAAAATATTAATAGCACAATTGCTTAACCTTCAAAGTCATTCATTAACTTCGAATACAGAGTCTCCAAAGACAACTCTTTCAAACAATGTAAAATTTTCTTTGGGCAAATGTTTGTACGCGACGCTACGTGACGCCARAGTTGCTTAAAATTGGGCAAAATTGGACCTTAAAGTTCGTCAAAAGCAAAGTTTATCAGAACAAAACTTACTCAAAACATGCTAAATGAAGAAATCGATTCTAGTTTGGAGTAGATACGAATATACTGCTCTCTATAAATACATGAAACGTATCCCATGTAACGAAAGTGTATCAATTTACACAATTTACAACTACAGTGTATGGACATGCCACTGGAATCAACATATTGTACTCCTTGTCGCATGCGCACTCTACTACTGCGGTCCATTGAATAATGCCCAGTCACCCAGGTTAAGGACTTAAAGCGTTCTTTTCAAAGCGCGCCCAGATGTGCAGGACCGATGAACTGCCACAGATAATGTCCAGGACAATCATTTCTATCGTCATACTTGAAATAAAAGGAACCGAAAGAGATCGCAAAAACTATTCAATATTTCAAAGTAGCGATAGAACAGCCCTGCCCCTGACCTCGTTTTTATCAGCGCATCGCGCAGATTTGTGGGAAATATGCATGAATGTATGACAATTATTCCAGAGCTCTTTTTAGGTGCTGCTACACTATGCAATTGTTTTGGTTTTGGTTATTTGTCCGTTAAAATATACTACAAGACTGAGGTTGTAAAGTTCATTTTAAGGCTTTGCCTTTTGGCGCATATCATAGTACTCAGTCAATTTTAAGAGGTCAAAATGTTTTTGCGCCTTCAACCGCCTTCAACCGGTCAAAATGGATTCCAACAATACTATTGTATGTCTTCGAGAG